GCAAGCTGCTCTAGTGGAAGGTGTCCCTGCCCATGGCAGGGAGCTGGAACTGGGTGAGCTTTGAAGTCCCTTCCAAGACAAACCAGTCTGGGATTCTTTGGCCTTGAACCCTTCCCTGTGGAAACCTGCAGGAAAAGTGACAGCACTCATAATATTTAATTATCAAAAAAAGGATACCATATAATTATGAAAAAGGATATTAGCTATGCACAGGCAGAGATGGCACCTGCAACAAGTTCCCAGAGACATACCTCTACCTTGGGCAGGGGACTGCAGGGTCACAGACTGTCAAAGCTACTGAGATCCTCTCTCATATCTCATGCATATTGCCTGAATGAACTGGGGCAGGGGCAATGTTCAGTACAGGTTAAAGTGACCAGGCTGTGTGACCACGGGGCAGATAGCCTTCCAGCAGCATCACAAGCTAAGCCTCTTTTCTGCCTTTGTGTGGATTTTCTTGTGTCATGGTTCACAAAGCACCTGTCCCAGCACCCTGTGGACACAGAGCAGTCATGCTGACAACAAATTACAGCACTGAACAAATTCTGTTTTCATCTGCTGTCACCTCCCTTTGGAAACTGTTTTGCCTGTGCCTAATTCTTTACACCATCCAGTCCCCAGCCAAAATATCAAGTCTGCATTATGTACCTCTGAATGACTGCCAGGGCTTGAACTGCTGATTAGAGATGTCAAACCTGACGGTTAGACCACTGCACTCTTCCCTCTGGGAAAGAGACAAGCATCTGGTCATTTTTTCTTTGCTGTGTTGGACTACTCAGGCTGAGAAGCAATTTGTTCAAATGTGTAGTCCTTTACCAGGAGGACTGTGCCCAAGATGAGACAAAAATCACAATGAATGGAAAAAGAGCCCACAGCGGCTCAGCTCACCAGCTGAGCCATGGCTTCCAATGAAAAACAGAACACGCTGCCTAGTGCTAGTCCAAAGTTAGCCAGTAGTTATTTGCCACTTCCAAATCTCTTTTTTTCCTGTAGACCCCTTGTTGTTCTGAAATCTGTGTTTCAACTTGAAAGCTAACATATTTTTAAATGGAAAGTAAACTGATACTTGCAGACAAATTACCATTACATCTGTTTAATCTCATTGTACTATTACCACTGGGGCTGCCAAAGTGGCAGTCATTACAATCCGCTCTCTCAAAGTTACACGTCCCCATTGTTGGAATAAATTCGGCACCTGCAGCTATCTCAGTCAGGAGAGGCTGCCATGGGTTCAATGTTTCTGCATGTAACTACCTAGCATTGGTTGCTCCCTGCTGGCAAAAGTTTTTTGAGACTCGAAACAGATCTTGGAACCCTAAAATACCCTAATGGAGACCTGAGTTTCACAGAAAACAGACCTTTTCTATGGGATATGTCTTCTAGGAGCATTTTGACATTCTGGATCAGACACATCCCCAAAGGTACCTAATTTTTCTCCGCTGGCTCCATAAGGAAATCAGGCTTCTGGCTTTATTCAAATACAACCCAATTAGTTGCCTAATGCTGCCTAAAATAGAGGTGTGAATCTTCACTCTCACTCTCCATCCCCAGGGGCCATTTCTGGGAAATACTGAGCGCTCTAACCATAATTTAATGACAGGCATTGCTCAATATCTCTCAAAAGCAGCATTCCTGGCATTACGTTGCTGCTGAATGAAGTATGTGGTATGTCCTTCCGTAGGATGGACACTTTCTTGCTCAGGATGTCCAGAACCAAAACAAATTCTCAGTACTACTACTGTTTTACCATAGGAACATCGTAACAGAACTTCCAGTCTCAGTGCTATAAAATGGATGCCTAAACAGTCCAAAATCAGATATGCATATGAAGCTCATTAACTAATGTCCAGGCACAAACACATCTTCCATCAAACCCCACTATTTTTTACTTTGCCTAATTTATTTCAGTTTTTTGTATAAATCAATCTTATTGCTTTGTCCAAAACCAGAAGCAAGAAGGACTTCACTATCAAAGGCAGCGAGTGAAAATCAGAAGTGCAAAAAAAACCTTTCAAATTTCAGGAGTGATATGGGAAGTACAAGGCAAAGCTAATATTATAACCTATTTGAAGTTATACATGTTGTTAACTCCTTTCTTTTTATATTTAGATTATATTTCTCAATGAATATAAATCAACATAGCTCCTACCTGTCAATTCGTATCAAGTTCTATTCCAGGATTTCTCATCCCTCTCCACTTCTTTTAATGTTAATTCAAACTATCACATGAATAGAAAAAAAGTACCATAATAGCCTGAGAAATGTAACCAGCAAGAGGACAAGAGGAGTACAGCACAGGGGAATGTTCTGCTTTAGAAGAGAAAATCATCCTCCCTGACTTATAGTTACAGCTCTGGCTGTTAAACCTGGCTAGGGAAATATCTCACTGTACTGTCATTGGTTCTAAATGGCCCCAGTTTTTGTAATTCCTGATTGAAAACAGTAGTTTTTAATTACCTTTCACTTATTTCCAGCATGAAAGCTGATTTCAGGCAGTCGCTCTACAAAACAAGCCTTATCATCTGATGAGGTCAGGATTAAATTCTTTCTCCCAATGCTCCACAGATGTTGGGAAGTTCTTTATTAGGTTTATCAAATGCCAATAATCAAGTCAATACAATAGGCAGTCCTGCATGCCAGGGGCAACAAGAAATGTCCCAGTGTGATATATGTCAAATACCAGTCTTTTGTAAGTCTTCCAAATCACAAAACAGTAACACTTTTAAGGAATTCATAGTGAACAATAAAAAGCTCACCACTGAATATCTGAATGTAACAGCTGAGTAAGCAACTGAAACCTAAGAAACATAAAATCCATCTCTTATTTTGATATTAAAGATATTTGGGGCTTTATGTACCTCATAAAGGGAGCATGCAACAAAAACTGACATTCAGGAGCAGAGTGAAATAGTAGATTAAGAGAGATTTGAGCTTCCAGAGATCTGGGCAAGTATCAGTAGCTCTGTATACACAGGATTTTCATTTATGCTACACCTGTTTACTGAAACAGAATACACAACCCCCAAGAGTGGAAGTAGAGACTATAGCATAACACACATTGCTTCCTTCAGGCATGCTCTGTGTTAAAAAAAACAAATGACCAACCAAACCATGCATGATTTTTATGACAGAGTTTGCACCGAACATGAATTCAGCAGACAAGCTTCCACATGTTGGTTGGCTGGCTGGGTTTTTCTTTCCCAACACTGCTTTTTGGTCATACCTAGTTTCAGGGTTTGGACGAAAAAATGAGCAACAGGAAAATTCAAAGTGTAGGCAGGAAGAGAGAAGCTTTTGAGTAGGATGCTTAAGGTGGTGCAGATGTACAGCAGAAGTATTCCAGATAATACACAAGAAAGCCCTTTTCAGTCTGAGATCATGACTAGATACAGAGAATAAACCTCACCCAGATGCCTACTGGCACAACTCAAACTTTTTGCTTAAACTAGGATGTTAGAGGATTGAAGTAGGGCTTTGGAAAGACCAAGCTACCACACAACTCTTGTAGCAGCTGTGCTAAATAGTCAGTTCCTTGAAGCACTTGGCACTGGCTGCTGCTAGAGGTGGACGGTAAATCCTATCCCTGAGGGTCTCCTGCTCTTCAGCAGTGGATGAAGAGGTAATCCCAATCCCACTTGAGCAGCAAGGTGGAAAAGAATAGGAGGACCATAAACCACCGTGACTCTGTCCTGTTGAGAAGAGGTTCACCTTGCAATCCACCTGGCTCTGAAGACTCAGATATAACCACAACAGCCCCATGCAATGCTACAGCCTGGGGGAAGAGTGGCTGGAAAGCTGCCCAACAGAAAAGGACCTGGGGTTGCTGGATGATGGAGCTGAACATGAGCAGCTTGTGCCAAGGCAGTCAAGAAGCCAACAGCATCCTGGCTTGTATCAGCACCAGTGTGGAGGCAGGGACAGGGCACGGATTGTGCCCCTGCACTGAGCACTGGTGAGGCTGCACCTCGAATCCTGTGTTCAGCTCTGGGCCCCTCACTACAAGAGAGAAATTGAGGGGCTGGAGCGAGGCCAGAGAAGGGAATGGAGATGGAGCAGGGCCTGGAGTACAAGTGTGATGGGGAAGGGCTGAGGGACCTTGGGGGTTCAGTCTGGAGAAGAGAAGGCTCAGGGGGGACCTGATCACTGCCTACAACTGCCTGAAAGGAGGATGGAGCCAGGAGGGGCTGGGCTCTGCTCCCAAGGAACAAGGGATGGGACAAGAGGAAATGGCCTCAAGCTGCACCAGGGCAGGTTTAGATGGAGCTGAGGAACAATTCCTGCCCCAGAGGGTGCTCAGGCATTGGAACAGGCTGCCCAGGGCAGGGCTGCAGTGTTCACCATCCCTGCAAGTGTTCACACACTCTGTAGATGAGGCCCTCAGTGCCGTGGGTCAGTGGTGGCCTTGGCAGTGCTGGGGAACATTTGGACTTAATGATCTTGAAGGTCTTTTCCAACCTGGTTGATTCTATGATTCTATGACTTTCAAAATCTCCTCATACCTTTGGAAACACAATCAGTTTCCCTGGGCAGGCAAATGACCATACTAGCTTTGAAAGCAACCGTCCTGTGATGCTGGTGGGCAGCAGCAAGGAGATGCTCCTGGAAAGACATGGCAGAGTTGCTGTCCTCATGCACAAGGTAAAGTCAGGGAAATGGGAACGAAGCAGGTGTGAGAAGGAGAGTTAACGTGAGGGTGGACAATACAGGCTGAGCTGAAGTCTGAAACCCAGCAGAGAAGGTTGGTGGTGGGGATCTGAGGCACATCACAGGTTGTTCCTGTCCCTACTAGCAGAACACACATGGGGGACACTGCTTGCTTACAGGAACAAGGAGCAAAGCCTGTCTGGCCAGAAATAGTTTCCTGGTCCTACCCCAGTGGGGTCATTTCTTATGAAGAGGCATCTTTCTTCAGCTGTATGCATAAGTTTACACCAACCTCCCACTCATATGAACTCTGTCACTGTATTTCATCATACCTTTGAAGACCTTGTCAGAGAATGTATGAGTAAGTACATATTTATTAATACACTGTTGAGCTGTATTTCTGCTATGTACTGTGGAAGTTTGCCGTCAAATATCCCATACACCGGCTGTGGCTGACGATAGCTCTCCCGTTTCCTTTATCTGAAAAAGAAAATAAAATAGAAATAAATATCCACCTCAGGGGAAAATAATCTATACACAGTTAAAATGAGATATTTTCCTTATTAAAATGTCTGGTTTAGAGCTCACTCGACACGCTTCTTTCTCTGAAATAGTTTGGACCCATACACAACAGTGTACAATACTTTTCATAACAGAGCAGTCCTTGTGGTCTGCATTCATCATGCAGCTTTTTAAAGCAGCATGTTATCAAGGGTGAGTTTTTATTTCCCTCTCTCCTGCTGTGGAAGATCATTTAATGTCATTGTCAATGCTTGGAATATCATGAAATGTTCCCCCTTAGTTAGACCAGAGGTTGTTATTCGAATGCAGACATGAAGAGAGTTTACAAACCACAGCAATAGTGTGTGTGTGTATATATATATATATATATATATATAGTGCAAGATGTAGGACAGCTGTGAAATAAGGGCTTCTGAAACACACACAGGCAGAGGCATTTTGCTTTGTTAATGTTTCTCATACTTAAAATTTCATGCATCTGTGTTAAGTGCCAGATGTCAGCAAAAGTTGTGACAATAATAAAGTCTTACTAAGCATTTAACCCCATCACTGAGATAGGGCAAGTACGGGGTTTGTGCTTTCACAGGTAAGTCCCTTCCTCAGGTAGGAAGCTCCTGGAGCTGCACCCAGGGATCCTCCAGCTTCAACCTTCTCTGACAACCAAATCAATGGCCTCTTGAAGTCAAGTTTGTCAACGATGACCTAGAAACCACGGCTTGTAGATCAGTAGAATACCAGTAGTGTATGTGCAGCAGTAAAAGCTCTCAGGGTTCAGCCGTAACTCAGGCTGGACAATACACTCCTGCTAATAATACCAGGAGTTGCTCAGGGTCACAGAGCTACCCAGTGTTCATGTACAGGAATGTATGTGGTGTTCAGAGTGTACAAACAGGTAGAGCAAAAAGCCGTCTACCCCTTTCCAGCTCTAAACCTTTGCCACCTACATCCTGGGGGATAACTCCGTTTGCCATGGCAGGTAGCAAAGTGATGCCCCAGTCAGGGCACAGCATGACTGGAAACTGGAGGAGCATGGAGGAATTAGATGGGTGATGTGGGAGTTACAAACGTCCTTTTCAGAAGCTTTCTGCATTGGTCTCTACTGGAATCCTAGCACTGGAGGAAAGTCAGACCAAAAGTGAGTCATTTGGTACTACAGCAACTGCAGGTCTCGGGGTCTTGGGGTCAGCACGTGCTTCCTAAGATTCCCGAGGCTTCAGAGCTTCTGCCTCACTCTGCTACATGCTGGTATTTGAAAGGTACAATCCCACATAGTGCAACATGCAAATTGCTGTAATTGCATGCTGTCCAAGAGCAACACTTTAAAAAAAATAAAAGCAGGAAAGAGACACTTCATCTTATGGCACAGTGATGAAAAGGCAAAGGCTTTGCTCAGCACAAGCCACAGATTTCAATTCCCAGGAGCCTGCAATTCTCATAACAACAAGCAGGTTTTATTTTATTTATTTGTCAGGACTGTTATTACTATGCTGCTCGCTATTTATCTCTACCTACTGCGCTGCTAATCACAGCGCATGGTGTGGCACGTGCCTGGCTTTGGGGTTTATGGATATGCTAAAACAGAAAGCAAGGGGCTGAGCCAGGCACCTGCCCACTTACGAAAGGTCACCATACAGTCCATAATTCCAGGGGCACCAATATCACCGCATCCCACCACCCTCAAGGGTGACCGCTCTGTCCATAGGCCTGAGTTCATGTCTCCAAATAACTCACACCCTCTTCCCTGCATCCCAAAATGCTCCTTGGAACGCGCTCCACATTGTGCTTCCAAAGGTGTAAAAATGGCTTATGGTAATTTTTCAATAACTTCTCTTCCCACAAGATTTCCCTTTGCCAGACACATGCAGTAATACACAATTTCATTGCACCAGCTGCTTGGGAAAGATGGAGTTTTATTTGTGTCTTCTAGCGCTTTTGGAAATTAGCATGTTACTTATGTTGCTGCTTCTTCGTAGACATTTTTCTATGGTAGTAATTTGTTAAAATATGGTTCTTTAGTGTACACCTATTTTATTGTGCATTTTCTCCCATTTTCTGCATCCCTTGCCCTCTTTTTGGTGTGTAAAAAGTTTTTTTTTTTTGGTATCTCCATTCCACAACATAATTGCACAACCTGGTCTTGTGAAAGGTGTCCCTGCCTGTAGCAGGGGGTTAGAACTGGCTGAGCTTTAGGGTCCTCTCCAACACAAACCTGTCTGTGATTATATGAAGTAGAACTTTTGATGATTTGCTTATCATTGAGGGAAACCTGCTGTGTCCAAACTAAGACCCCCTGCCACCATACGAGCATGTTCTCAGTAAAACAGGCTTTCTGAAGATGAAAGCTAAAGAGCAAATATTGTCCATATACATTTATTTAAAAGAGATATTTAAGAGTTTGAAATAGGCATATTGGTGTTTTGTGTAAACATACATTTTATACAGTAACGTTGCAGTTGGAATGCATAACTTCAGGAACATCAGAGGCTACTGTTTTCCATCTCTCAATCTCACAGTACTTACCAAGTAGCACCTCTCCAAGAAAGTGAGGGGCAGGAAAACTGCGACCTGCCCGAGTCACACAACAAATAAGCATCCCGAATCCCGCTTCCGTATTCAGGTCGTTGGGACCTGGATCCTTTATAATGATTTGAGCATTAGTTGTAGTTAGATTTTGTTTTCAGGAGAGAGGTTAGTTTCCAAGAGCCTATATAACCACAGCAGCTCAAATAACTCTGCTTCTCCCCATTGCAGACATGCAAATCACACTTTTTCATGACTGCATTGCTGCCCAGGGCTCCAGTTACGGCTCAAGTAGACCTGGCAAAAAAATCCACATTACTTCAGAGGTCTGCACAGAAACTTGGGGATTTACATAGTGCTGACAGCCAGAAATCAAAGTCTTGTGGACTGTAACACATTACTGAATTATAAAGACAGGGGAGTGCAAACTCATAGCTTGGAAATGATGAATTTGCAGCTGCCTCTGAAGAAAGAGCAGGCTTTCATTATCTGGCATGAGCACTGACAATTAAAGGCCAGGTCTACTGATGTACTGTACCCTCAAGTGGGAGAAACTCAACCCTCAGTTCTTCAATTAGTTGTATCTGAATGCACTTATGTATCAGTAGTAAGTGACAGATGCAGTTATAATCGGTATACATAAATATATGTCAAGCAACAGGTCTGCTTCCAAAAAGCTTGAAATTAAGATTCTGGTTTAGTATGAAGGAGGCAAGAGTCTGGTAACATCTTGTTATACAAGTCTCATGAGAACTGAACACTCATTTTGGGCAACTTTAAAGCCAAACTACAGGTCATTTTGCACTACAGGCTAGGGCTCAGCAACAGGGGTATAGCACCACCTCTGCCTTGCAGCACTACCCCATGTCACCTCTGCCTTGCTTTTCCCAAATGTAAATTGTAAAATTACAATTGCAAACAGTTAAACGAAGTTATGATGGTCACGATGAGGTCAAATTTTCCAAGGTGAGGCCCTAGGAATTTTAAACCAGAAGAACAGGTCATAGAATCACAGCATCAAGAACTATGAATAGGTGCAATTTGTTACTAATTTCAATGGTTGTAATTTTTGAATTGGTAGTGCCTGAAGCATTAAACTTTGACTTTACCTACTGCATGTTTCCGCTCTGGACAGCAGCAACTGAAGCTTTTCTGTACTCTCTCCCTGATGTTGTTCAATCCTGAGTGGCCTGGGCTTGAGCTTGTAGGATAAAACTGGAAGCTCATTTTCTGTTTTCATGTATTTTCAGGCTCTTGGACTGCGGGCTGTTTACAACAAAGGTGAAAAAAGGGAACGAGAGCAATAATGTGCATTGTGAGGGGCATCAGTCCACTAGGATACAGCTGAGACTGATCCTCCTAATTCATTTCATGTCAGGGATTTGAATCCGACATGGAGATGAAAAAGCTCTGCCTGCTATTACAGCCACAGGAGCCATCCCTCCCCGACACGTTATCACATGCTGCACCAGCAATCATGTCATGCTCAATATACTCCATTCAGTATCAGTTACTTCACCATAATGAAATCTGAATGAAGGAAAACATTCCAAGACACACAAATACATACATACTAAAGACAGAAAAAGAAATTAGAGGATATATTTTGACCACAAGGTCTGCACTAGTTGCAGCTTAAGGAAGATAAGTGAGCCTGGACCCATTCCCCCGCAGCACACAGCAGCTCTGTGGCGAGATAGGACAGCTAATCTGGTTTTCCATTTCAGCAGTGTCGTTTACTGAACCTTTTAGGCCTCATATTAGGTGACAAAAAGTGACCATGAGCCCTGCTGATGCTGTCTCAGCAGAATGGTATTTGAAAAAGTTATTCAAGCCATTAATCCTTCAGTGCCAGCAATGTGTATCTGCAAGGGAGCAGCATTCACTGGCTGGCAGTTATTTATTCACCAATTCCCAACATATGAAACCGCAGCGTGGCAATAAGGAGCAGTTGCTGTGCTTCAGAAACAGAGAAAACCCTGACACCTCGTCATCACAACACCACATCTAACACACACAAGATAAACTCCTTCATTTCATGTCTCCATGTGCCTGAAAGGGAAGGCTGGATTTCCCACATGTCTGAACGAGATGGAAATACACTTTCTGTTTTTACTGGACATGGCTCCGGCTCCAGCCTTAGCTGAAAATAGTCTCAGAAGATGAGAAGTTTTGAGTTTTGATTTCCACCCTATTCTCATCCTACACTGAATCAGCATGATAGAGCAAGGCCTGCTGCAGGAATTTAAACGAGATTAATCTGTCCTAAATTGGCACATGAAAATTAGTTATCTTAGCCCAAGCTGAGCACCTTCATCCCTTGTAATGTTAACTCTCAGATACAGGTCCTTCTAAAGGTAATTCACCTGACCTAGCATAAAACTTGCCAAAGGGCAAGATGAATAGCCCTCCTCAGAGCTACATAGAGTCTTACTGGG